ATGATCCATGTGCATTTTATATATCTAGGGATATTTTAGTATGTAAAAATCTAGTATTTGAACATCTACGCAATTAATTCTTTGGTACTTTCTGTTTCCAGTAAATATTTGTGCAGGCATCTGTTTTAGTGCTACCAAGCAAGATTTTGTTACTTCATTTTTAACCATTTTAACCATTTTGTGTCTTCGTGTTTTAGGTACTGCTCTCCTACCCCTTTTCTGAGACAAAATTTTAGGGTGTAGCTCTGGCTGGTATCAAAATCATAACCCTTGACAAACTCTACCCAGTACTAAGATTATGCCACCACAACCAATCAACCGACCAACAAAACCAAAATCCCATTCCTGTTTTTTAATTTGTGGTACTATCATTTCATCTGTGAAGGAAAGGTTTGCAATATGTATGTACTCATGTGATAGCATGATTTCACAACCTAATTCTTTTTTTTTTTGATACACATGGGTCAATAGACATGGGCTTTGTTTCTCAAAATCTATTTTACCATCTTGCTCACCATTCATATATTGCCAATGACCTACAGTGGAAATTAGGATGGGATATTCATAACATTTTATTGCCTGAGTGATGAAAAGATCTTAGTAACTGGACAGTATTCTATTAATACTGTTTGAAATCTCCTGTGCAATAATCGGTTATATATATTATGCATTATGCAGAGGTTTAGTTTTTTAGCTAAGTGAATTTTCCCAGCAACACCCTAAAAATGTCTTCCTAAGAAGTTTTTCTAAATAAATATGGTTGTTTTGAAAAATACAAATTATTTTTAAAGTATGTTTTCTATCATCTTTAAGTAGTTGTAGAAAGGAGTTATTATTCGATGAATCAGTGTATAAATTCACTGCATTATGATCAGAGTAACAATTTTCATCATTTTTTCTCATACTTTCCAAGCAATGCTTCCCCTCAGTTTTCTGAATTTCATAGGATATACATGGAATATGATAGCATTTTCCCCTTTCCTCTCATCATTTGCCTACTCTGTCTTTTTACCTTCCCTTCTCCCTTTCCCCACATCTTTCAAATACTAGTTTCCTGTTATTCATTTTGTTGGACTGAGGATTTCTAAGGAATTTCACTGTTTGAACTCCTCCTTGCAAATGGCATACTTTTTGGTTAATACATCTGTGTATAGTCACACACAAGCCAATTTCATATAAAAGGCCCTGTTTTATTTATATATTTTGAGGACACTTGGTCCTTATTTTGTAAATTTTTCCTGTTTTTCAGACTTTGTATTGCAAGGCATATCATTTTGGAAAAACCAAAACTCATTTCTACAGTCGTTTCAGCATATTATTTTCTGAATCACTACATTTAGATTTATCTGGATGTTGCTGTTTTAGCCTTTATCATGAGCAGAGTGGCTTAATTTGCAGCAAATAAATGAACTACTTCCAGTCTTTTCCATTGTTGCTAGACAATGATCAGCATCATTAATATTCATTCCATCAACAAAAAGCAAGTATGGATTATAATTTTCCCACCTAGTGTCTCTATTGTTGGTTGTTTTTCTTTACAATAAGAAAGCCAATTACACAAATTTAATGTGTGTCAGAGCAGAAGACATGTAGTCTTAATGGACCACTGGCAAAAATGGGGTTCTTCATATGAAAACATCTAGTGCCTCAAAATTCAAAGAATGATTTGGAATTAGATTGCCAGCTGGTCTGAATAACACATTATCAGACCCCTAAATACTGGATGGAGAAACACAAATTTTGAGGAGCATTTACTTAATTATTGCAACATGAGAGAAGCGCTAGCATGTCTAAACATTGTCTGAACCTGGTGATGTTTCTTTTCGTATCTTACCTTTTGTAGCTAGTAAGTATTTTGGTTGTGAGTGACTCCGTTTGGCAGTAGCAAGTTCCTGCCGATAGAGAGTGAGAGGCTTAGAGTAAGGGAGACTGATAGTGATTTCTCATAAACAGGTGAAGATATGAGAAATGGGGAAAAAATCAATACTAGAAAACAATACTTACTGCTCCCTAGGCATTACATGCACTTGTACCTTTCTAGGACATTTTTTTTCTAGAGGAAGAAACAACCTTCAAAAGCCAATTAATGAATATTATATTAGATAACTATTGTCAGCTATTGCCTTTAGAAGAAAGAGTCTTTATAAATTTTTATAGGACACATAGGTAAATATATAATACTTTTAAAATAGATCCAATGTAAATTTATGTTGCTAGGTGAGAGAAAATTTAGATTTTCTTTTTTTATTGTGAAAATACTGTACAGAGGGGTTACAATTACATGGGCAAGATAATGAGTACATTTCTTATCAAGCATTGTAGCCTCCTCCTTTGTTTCCCCTTCCCAGCTCTTTCCATCCTCCCTTCCCACCCAATCCTCCTCCCCCCACACCAAAGTTGTAAAGTTCATTTTTCCACATAACGACTTGTATATCTCATTGTTGCAATGGATCCACCTATATCCCTATTTAAACGATTTGGTTTTTTCCCTTCCCCTCCACAAATTATACTAACATCAAATACAGTGAAAGCAGGGGTTATACCATGTGGGGAGAGGGACATACAAAGCAACAAAGAAATAATCTTATAAATGTGCTAGAAACAATCACCTGAAAAAATTTAGTTTTTCTACATTCCATACAGCTGTGCTTTGGAATATCTTAAGTTCATACTTTACTTAAAATATTTTATTTTTATACTTCTCTTACGGCTATGAAGTGCTCCTATTTAGTGATAAAGTTATGAATTGTTTCTGTATAAACATTGTGTATATATGTATATACATATGTGTGTTTCCATTGTTAGTAGAAAGGACATATGATATATTCATTCCTATCAGTTTCTTTAACATGAATGCAGCATATTATAAAGTATTTCCTCTACTGAATAACACTTTGAAATAAAGTACTAAAAAATTCCTGAGAATGTTAAACAGTAATTGCTAAAGACCCTTTTCTAAATACTTTTACTAAACAAATGTTCATTTTTCACAAATCATACTCTTCAGTTTAAAGGACAATTTAGAATTCACATTAGATCTTTTCTACTTATCATTCAGTGAATTTTATGCTTGTAGTTATCCTATTCAAGTAAAATCATAACATTTTTCTATATGTGATACTCTTAGTTATTAAAATTTGCATGCATTCTTTTTTAGCTAGTGTTGGACATCTTAAGAACTAGTATAAAGAAGGAATTGAATCTTTATTACAGAAATTCTGAAAAAATAAATTATGTCTTATAGCTCCTCTTTGGTCTTTCTGTGATAAAATAAAAACTTTTATTTTTTATTGTTTTGGGGGTCCGGTCGTGGGGCCTGAACTCTGGGCCTGGGCGCTGTCCCTCAGCTCTTCAGCTCTTCAGCTCAAGGCTAGCACACTACCACTTAAGCCATAGCCACACTCTGGCTTTTTTTTCTGCTTATGTGGTGCTGAGGAATTGAACCCAGGGCCTCATGAATACAAGGCAAATGCTCTACCACTGAGCCACCTTCTCAGCCCCCAAATAAAAACTCTTTATAATAAAAATTACCAAATGATAACTATTTTTCTTTGTGTGGATAAGGGACATGATAAATACAATTTGAGTTCTATTAATAAATCTCTTTACTAAAATATTTCCAGTAGAAGCCACTTGATTCAAATTGTTCCCCATATTAAATGATATATTAATAATAGTCAGGACTAAAACTCAGCATTCAGGATTTTAGTTTGCATCCTCACTTTGTAACAGTAACATGAAAATCTCTCAGTTAATAATCAATGATATTCAACATATTATTTTATTATCTTTACTTACCCATGAAGAAACTATTGCACAAAAACATACAATAATAGTCAGGGTAACAAATTTAGTATAGTTCAAGACTTGTAATGATGAAAATCCACAGTTTTTAACTACCTTACAAAGAGAAGAGGTGGCCAAAATGATGGTTTCCTACTTTGTAAATAGATAGGTATAGGATAATTTTACAAAGTATTTAGGGGTCCATTAATAAATGGAATATAAAAACAAGGTTATGATTTGTGAGTTGGCTCAAATAATTATAGCATTAAGATGTGCTAGAAGGTGCCAAGAGTCCAGACAAAAATACATTTTAATCTAAAACGGCCTAAAGCCGAAAGAAACCTGAGCCAAACCCTTCAACAAAGTTTTTTTTAAATATTTTATTTTACATTTGGTACATTTTAATAATTACTTTGATTTAAGCTTAAGCATTTATAAGTGGATAACATCAACCTTTTTTTTCAATATTTTGTTGATATATTGCCAACCACAGTTTTAGTAGAGTCAGAGATTTGGTACTTTTTCAGATTTGGTACTTCTTCCTGGTCACAGTAATGCAGATTTTAAGAGCACGTGATGCCTAGCTTTGTTTTGATTATAATTGTTTTTAAATACAATTATGTATTTGGAGATTTTTTCCTGATAGGAGTAATGGATTTGTATTAAGCTATATACCCAATTTTATTGTCATTTATATACTAAACAGTTCAAGAAGGTTAAATAGATGTGCACCTTACACTGGTTAAAAATAGCTGTCCTTTTTGCGTCTTTTACTAAATTTTAAGTGTGTGGAAAGATTGTCTACATATACAAATTTAGTAAATTAATGAATATGCACAGGGTTTTTAGAAGTAAGTACCACTGGTAAATTATCTTTCTCTTCCCAGAAGATAATAACAGTGTGTTTGCTTTATAAAACTTTTCTTTGTAGACTAATAACAAGACAATTTTAGACAAATAACAAGAAAGTAACCATTTCTGTGAGAAAATTGTAATGTATGAATATATACATGTATAAGAGAATCAATATTAGTAAGGAATAAATACAAGAATAAAAGAGACATTAATTTTTTTTTAAAGAGTGGGGCATTAAAACCAAATAGATTAGGAAAATATACTAATGAACAATGGCTGTATTTTTGTCCTAGTTGTTAACTAATTTGTATTTATTTTACTAGATAAAATGCTTCTATCTGTGGATCAGATTTAAGAAAATGCTCAATTTTACTGATGTAACGGAATTTATTCTTCTAGGATTAACCAGTCGGCTCGAACTGCAACTCCTTTTCTTTGTGGTTTTCCTAATGGTCTATGTTGTCACTTTGGTGGGAAACCTTGGCATGATTGTATTCATCCGAATTAGCCCGCAGCTGAACAGCAGCCCCATGTACTTTTTCCTCAGCCACCTGTCTTTCGCAGATGTATGGTTCTCGTCTAACGTCACCCCTAAGATGCTGGAGAATTTGGTGTCGAAGACCAAAACCATTTCTTACCATGGTGCAGTGCTTCTTCTTCATTGTCTTCGTCCACGTGGAAGTCTTCGTGCTGGCTGTGATGGCCATCGACCGCTTCATGGCAATCGGCAGCCCACTGCTGTATGGTAGCAGGATGTCAAGACCCATCTGCCTTCGGCTCATCTCTTTCCCGTACGTGTACGGCTTCTTCATCACTTTCATTTCAACCCTGTGGACTCACGGGTTGTACTACCGTGGGAAGCTGGAGATCAACCACTTCTACTGTGCAGATCCAGCTCTGATCAAGATGGCCTGTGCAGGAACTTTCATTAAAGAATACACCATGCGTACCCTAGCCGGACTTAACTTTTCCTATTCCCTATTGGTCATTATCGTCTCCTACATATTCATTCTTATTGCCATCCTCAGGATGCGCTCTGCAGAAGGGAGAAAGAAGGCCTTTTCCACCTGCGGATCGCACCTGACAGCGGTCACCATATTTTATGGAACCCTTTTCTTCATGTATCTCCGGAGCCCGACAGAAGAATCTGTGGAGCAAGGGAAGATGGTGGCTGTGGTTTACACCACAGTCATTCCGATGCTGAACCCCATGATCTGCAGTCTCAGGAACAAGGATGTGAAAGAAGCCGTGACAAAAGCCATCCGTGGAGCAGTCTTGACGAAGTAGCAACTGTATAGTGTATTGGATGCAAACTCTGGTGGGAGGGCCTGAGAAAAGGTTGAGACTATTGCTTTCCAGTCATTTTCAGGGAGTTTATTGTACTTTCAATGAGTAGATAAATCTATTAACCAATGACATGGAAACAATAATGTAGAGATTGGGAAAGTGTGATGTAAACAGGACTCTTGGAGCCGTGAAATATAAGACAAAAACCTAAAACAAACCCAAAAAGCAACCATGCACGGACAGTAACATTAATGGAATTTTCTCTTTCATATCGGGTTCAATTGAGTAAGTTAATTTGTGACTCTGAAATTCTTTTGATCACTCTTCAACATTTCACAACTCATACAGGTAGCTCAGCAGTCCAGTACTTTGTAGGCACAAAGACCTGGGTTCAATTCTCAGCACCACACACACACACACACACACACACACACACACACACACACAATTTAAAACTCCATCCCTGCTTTCAGACAAACTGAAAGGGCTGTTTGTAGTTACTTGATTTTGTTTGCCCTTTTCTTCTGATTACATGTTATTTCAAAACAATTAAAAATGATTAAGTTTTACAACAGATGAAATCTACTTCACAATGGAATGCTAAAAATTCTTTGAATTTGAATTTGAATTAGTTGAGTAATAGGTAAGGTTTTATGTTCAAATATGAACAATTAGTACAACTCATTTATTTTTTTTTTTTTGAGAAAATACTGTACAGAGGGCTTACAATTACATGGGCAAGATAATGAGTACATTTCTTATCAAGCATTGTAGCCTCCTCCTTTGTTTCCCCTTCCCAGACTTCCCCTGGCGCCCCCACCCTATCCTCCCCCCCCCCACCAAAGTTGTAAAGTTCGTTTTCGACATGACAATTTGTACTTCTCATTGTTGCAACGCGTCCACCTGTATCCTTATTTAAATGACTTGTTTATAAAGGAAGTGTGAAATATCCTAGGACAACTACTTACAATGGGTTTTAGGCCTTGCCTATTTAAATATCTACCATCAAGTAATAGCTCCTATTTGTTGATGTTCTGGAACCTGGGATAGACTGTGCTAAGTAGACAAGAGCACAGTGAGTTGTTACCAGTCATCGAGAGGTATTTACTCATTTTTTGTGTCTATTCTTTCAGTTTTTAATCTTTGATCCTTATCTTTTACCTTTTAATCTCTGTTTCATCATTTATGTTACATCCTGTGGTTCTTTTCTTTATTTGAATATTTTTATTATGTTTAAGAAGTTGTACAAAAGTTCAAGCCCCATGACTGATTTTTTAAAAAAAGAAGTTGTATAAAAGAATCACCATCCAACCAAGCAATTTATGAATAACTGCACCTTGATCAAATGTCACCCCAATCAACATCTTCACACACACCCACCCCTCTCAAAACCAGGCTGTCTTTCAGTTTCCTTGAATTTTATCTTTTGTTTTATAAAGATATACTTATTTTCTTATTTGTGTGTGCATGTGTGTGTGAGTTTATGTTTAGGTTTGGTGGTAATAGAAACTAACTGGCCTTTCAGAAATTCTTATGTATTTTGTAATGTATCTGTCTCTAAAAAGGAACAAGTCAAATAATAAATGCTACTGTAAGAATGTTGATTTTATATTTTACAATATTGTTGGTTCAATTCCTAAAAGCTTTTTTTTTGGAAAATAGAAAAATCAAGGCACAAAAAGCTTAGTTTGGTTGTGAATGAAAACAATTTCTTTTCATTTTAGGATGAAAGATTTTGTTTATCAATAATCATTTTTTTTAATTTTCTTTTTTTATATCTATTTTTACTTTGTCATTGTGAGTCTTGAACTCTGGGCCTAGGCACTGTCCCTGAGCTCTTCAGCTTAAGACAAGAGCTCTACCATTTAAACCACAGCACTACTTCCAGTTTTCTAGTGGTTAATTGGAGATAAAAATCTCACAGACTTTCCTGCCTGGGTTGGCTTTGAACTGCAATCCTCAGGTCTCAGCTTCCTGAGTAGCTAGGATTACAGGCATGAGCCACCAGCACCCAGCCTAGCACTAATCTTATAAGTACAATTGACAGGATAACAAGGACATTCAGAAAGAAATAAGATTCAGGAGCTTATTAATTTGCATGAATATACAAGTCATGAATATATACATATGCATGTATATACATATAAACCCAAATATTGTATATATTATTTGCATATATTCAGTTGTTTAGTTTTGTTTTATATTGTTCAATTTGATCAGAACATCGTGGAGTACTTCTTAAGAAATTTTATTTAATAACAAACTAGTTTTCATATAAGATGTTTATATTATTCTGTTAATATTTTATATGCTATCTTAATGTACTAATTCAGTCTCCTATCATGTTTAAGCTTATATTCTAATCACCTACTTTCTCCGTGTGCTACATCTTGGGCATGAGTTTTAATAATCTGAAAGCTTAAAATGTCCTCATTTTTAATAATTTAAATAAGTTTGACTAGTAAACACTTAAATACCACATGAAAGTAAAGCCAAATTTTCTTAATAAGAATAGAACTTATAAATATGTCAGAAACAATATCAAGAAAGAAAAAACATTTGAGTCCTTATCTTGGGGCTCATTTTACCTGACTGTTTCTGCTTGCCATTTTCACAATAAAAAAATAAGAATAGAGCTAAATAGTAGAATGCTTTTGTATCGCCTATAAAGCCATTGGTTCTTCTGTTCATACCACCACAAGACGAAGGTGGAACAAGCAAACACAGAAATAGCATCATAACACCAATACATTTAAGCAAAACCTGCATGCATTTAGTTAAGTCATAAACCATGCAGATTCTTGAAGGATAATGTTTCAGGCTGATGTATTAGACATTGAGAAGACCATAAATAAAGGCATTCATGGACTGCTTCAAGCAGAGCCTCAAAGCCTTTTCAGACAACATAGACTGAGATATTAGAGAGACCATAAAATGAATGATTGATTTGTTTTTATGTGGTTTGCATTTTGCTGCAGAATGGTGGAGAAATGCAGGAGAATTCTGTGAATTGTCCTGATGTGGGCTGCTTTATGGTTTGAAAGGATCATTGTAGGTTTTTAGTTTAGAATGGATTGAAATGTAGGGGTAAGTGTCATACAAACAACTTATGACATCTTTTTGTCCCGATATTACATATCATACTTCCAAATCAGCCTGGGTCCAGAAATGAAGATATAGAGACATTTCATATGACTAAGAGATGAGAATTCCTGCTTTTCTATGTTATGTGTTTATTTAAATAAATGTTTTTGTGTTGCCAATAATATAGCTTTTGTTTATAAAACATGATAACTGAAACAGATATTCTGAATAATTTTATTAACATTAAGTAGTTATACCAAGAAGTTTCCATGCACCTAAGCCAATTTATGAATAGAGTGCATCTTCATAAACATTTCCCCTTTCAACATTCTTCCCAACCCTTCCCAACTCAACCTTTCCCTCACTTGATTATAGGTTTTGTACTGAATTGTTCTGCAATTTAACAAAGTAGTTTATGTATGCAATGCATCTATGTCATCACCTCAACATCTTTTCCTCCTTTTGATATACTCTTTCCCTTATATTTCTAAATTTTGTGGTATATACAATGAGTTTTTGTTTGGATTCTCTTCCAATTCTCCCCTTTATTCTTCTATATCTCTGCCTTTGACCCCTACCCTCCCTTCTTGCAAGTACCCATTCCTGGTCCTTATTCTGGGGGCTTTGATTTAGTCTTTTTAAAGTGTGATACTATTTGCACTTGCCATGGAGTCTGTTATGCTTCAGCTGATTCATTTGTAACTCCTTGATAATTTTATTCTTGGTTTATTATACTGTAACTTTAGTTAGAAAGACTAACATTTGATTTATCTTTCATTGTAAAAGCCAAGTCATATAGATGACATGGAAATTATATAACCTAGGACAAGTGTTTACAGGTTGAGGTATGTCACCTCCAAATACTACTTTGGTATTGATCCTCATATCATTGCTGTCCTTTGAATATCTTCATGAAAATTCTTGCTGAAAATTCGTAAGTGGTGAGACCAGGTGAGACTTTTGAGAAGTAGTGGGGTGATCTGTGCTCTTCTACCATGAATGGATTCATCTATTCATAGATGAATTGGTTCATGGGTTTTCTAGACAGTAGGTTTGTCATAAAATCCCATTTAGCTCTGAGTCTTGTATGCATCCCTGTACCCTGTGAGGCCTTGAGTGGTCTCGGACTTCCCCACCAAATACTGGAAGAAAGTCAACAGCTGCGGCCCCCTGGATCTTGAACATCACCTTCCATATCTATGAGATGCATCATCTTTTCTTCTTTATAAATTTGCTGAGCACATACCTGATTATAGTAGAGAAAGCCAATTAAGAGAACTTGGGAGAAAGTAAACTTTTATTAATCAGTTGGGAAAATAATAATCTAATCACTTCCTCTAGAGAGGTATCTCCTCAGGGGGAAAATTCTTTATAGCTAATCATTTTGTAAGAAAAAGATTTAAGGGAAGATTCTGTTATAGATTATTCCCACTTTCTCTTTTGTAAGGTTTAGTTATATGGCATTCTTCTATAGAGAATTCACTTGTAGACTCCACATTTTCGGAATTTTTCTTCATTCTCAGGTGGGTATGAAAGGTGACAAGACAAAGCTAGGCTCTTAGATTTTATTTCATTTTAGGTTTTAGAAATACTCTAATGATTCTATTAGCACTATAATTGTGAAAACTGGGAGAAAGACATATACACCAAAAAAATAAACTTTCAATAGAAATTACATTTTATGCTACAGTTTAATAATATATTACATTTTAAATTATTCTTGCTTTATTTCGTGTTCTGAATGAAACCCACTATCATAGTGACAAACATGTAATAAAATTATATACTTTTAATTAAGTCATATTGAACAATAGAAAAATGAAAACGAAAACAAAATTTGAATAAAACAAGCTTACTTCCAGAGATGCTAGATTATGCATTCAAAAAATCCTTAAAAATAAGAACTCTTCCTAAGA